AGGATCGAACCGCGGTCCTTGTGCTTTGCCAAGCTTGTTCCAAGTAGCTGCTTTAGACCACTGAGCCATCTCTCCAGCCCCCCCTTAACTTTTTAAATGACAGTCCTCGTCACACTTTTCTAGGGAGCCCTCTTTGATTTCCTTTTCAGCCTCACCTTCCTTAGTATCTTTCAGCAATATCTTCTTCCAGCTCTGCCCAATCTCTGTCTTCTGGGCCTGGACTCCACCTCAGGAGGTTCTCTAGGAGACATCCAGGGGTCACCTGCCATGCCCTCGGTGCTCCGACAGTGCCCTGCCCTTCCTGCAGTGCCCAAGGACACTGAGCACTGATGGCCTCCTCTGGTGGCCCAGGGAACACTGATGACAGTTGCCCCTTGTCTTCCTAGCCTCTCCTTCCTTTCCCTTGAGGTCTCATCGACCTGATAGTCCAAGGTCTCTTCCACGCTTGGGCTGTGATCCCTTGGCCACCAGACCACCTCGCATCAAGGCTCTGAGTACAATGACCATCTTTCTCCAGGTCCCTGGAGGACAGGAAGGATATGTCATCTGGGTGCCTATCAAACAGGAAAAGCTTAGTTTGTCCACACCCCACTCTGCTCAAAGGTCTTCTCTGATCTCACTCAAAACCAACAGATCGTCCTCCAAATCTAGCCAGTGAAACAGATTTTTGAAGATGACAACCACCCTGCTTCCCCTTCTTTCTTCTCTTCTTTTTCTGGGATCAGTGGATCTGGGGGTTTCTCCTTGTGGGCTTCTTCTGCGGTCCTCAGATTGGGGCCGGACACTTTCAGGAGAACTAGAGGCGTGAGCACTGGCCTAGAGTGGTTCTGGGTGCCCCCATCCTTCATGTCTCGCCTAGCAGGGTTCAAATGAGCCAAGAGGTCAAAATGACACCTGGTCTCTCTCTCTCTTTTTTTTTCTTTTTTCTTTTTCTGGTCCCTTACTTTAAATGTAAACAAATTAGCCAAGCATGTGGTGGTGCAGAGCCTGTAATCCCAGCACTTTGGAGGCTGAGGCAGAAGGACCACTGTGGAGTCAGGGTCGGCCTGAGCTGCAGAGTGAAACCCTGTCTCAAAAAGAACAAAAAAGAAAATGAAGTGAAATTCAGTGCCCAGTGGTCAATGACTGCGACACTGGAGGACACAGGGAACATGTCCTTAATGGAACAAAGTTCTGAAAACAGCAACAACAGCGCAAAAGATCCCTTGGCCCCTAATCTCTGAGACTTAGTGTTTTCAGAAAAGAGTTTATGCTGGACCTGGAATCATACATTATCCCTTGGTTCAAG